GGAATAGTTCTGATTAGGGATGTAACGATTCACTCAACTCACGATTCGATTCGATTCACAATTTTTTTTTTAACAAAATGAGATTTAAGACAAATTATAAATTAAATGTGTCCTTTTATTATTGCTTGGACAAAACGCTGCACGTTTCTTTGTTAAATTGAAATATAACACTATAATAATATACTAATATATCACTTGCAATTTATTGCTCTTTTGTTGGTTTTGATTGCTTCTATTGTCCTCATTTGTAAGTCACTTTGGACAAAAGCATCTGCTAAATGACAAAATTTAAATATAATGTAAATGTAAATAACAAAACTAAATTGAAATTTTAAAACAAGCCCCAAATCAAATAAATAAGTAACACAAATAAAACAAATCTCTTCATATAAACAAAATATGGCTTTGTCTGTGCTCTTTCCATTTAAAATTAGAGGCAACCACTGCATTTTAATCATGATCTTTGGAGTTGAGACTTTAGACTTTGCAACTTTACAGATATTCTTTATGCACCAAGAGCTTGTAACACTCCAAAGAGAAAAGAAACATTGAAATCGCATCATATGACCCCTTTAAAATTAGAGGCATCCACTGCATTTTAATCATGATCCAAACAAAGATACGTGCAACATGAGCAGTTTTTAATCTAAATCAGATTGTATAATTTTGAAATTTGAAGCAAAAACAGAATGGTTTGACTTCAGTTTTGTGAAACTATACATAAAAAATATCTGCATGAAAGCTGAGCTGAACGAAACTGAATGAGACGCACTGCCAGCAGGCACTCTCTGCCAGCAGGTGGCGCTTAAAGTGTTTCCTTGGTTTCCGCTGTAAACAAAACAGCTCTGCACTTATGAACTTTAATATGCATTATACAGAGGCAAGATGAAAAGAAAAAATACCATCTACACTTTTCTAAAGACAGTAAGTTCCCCTCAGACATACATTCATATAAACTCTTACCCCTAAATGAATCGCGATTTGTTTAGCATCTCAACCGATTTGAATCGTCACGTATTTAAATCGATTTTCAACCGGCTCACGGTTAATCGTTACATCCCTAGTTCTGATGATGGATACGTTTAATCAAAGAGCCTGAGACCCCCAGAGTCTGATGTGGACATCTCCTCTCCCTCCTATGATGACTGAATAGAACTTTATAGAGCTCAAGCCAATCAGAACATCTCTGCAACATGCTGACACGGACACTATAAAACACGGAGGATGTCTGAGTTTGATGGTGTCAACCAATGTCACGTCACCCAAGGGCAGCAGTGTCTGCTTTCTGATGAACACTTTGTTTGTGGGCCATACGAGTTCAGCTGCTGTAAGACATTTCTGTGGCACCAAATGAACCTACAAACTCTCAAAACTCCCATCTGCTATTGTTCAGCTCAGCTCATTAAAGACAGTAGAACAAATACTATGATTCCATAATGTTTAAATACTTTAATTTATATGATATATGTACTACTGTGCAAATATTTGGTCTGTAAGATTTTTATTTTAAACTTTTATTGAACAAGAATGCATTAAATTGATCAAAAGTGACAAAACTTTTGTAACGTTATAAAAGTCTTTACTATTTCAAATAAATGCTGTTTTTTTTAAAACTTTACATTCATCAAAAAACCCTTTAAAAAACGATCACAGTTTCCATTAAAATATAAAGCAATACAATCGTTTCAACACCGATAATAAGAAAATCATCATATTAGAATGATTTCTGAAGGATCATGTGACACTGAAGACTGGGGTAATGATGCTGAAAATTCAGCTTTGATCACAGAAATAAATTACATTTTTAAATATATTCAAATATAAAACTGTTTTAGAACAAATACATGCAGCCTAGCTACTATCCTCAAACTTTTGAATATTAAATAAAAACAAAATTATATGTAATATTGCATAATTTTTTTAGTACTGTCAAACGATTGATCGCATCCAAAATAAACGTTTACATAATATATGTGTGTATACTGTGTATATTTATTATGCATATATATATGCACACACATACAGTATATATTTTGAAAATATTTACATGTATATATTTATATTCATATAATTTATATTGTATATAAATATATTTCATATATAAACATAACATATTTTTCTTAAATGTATACATACATTTGTATGTATTTATATAGGCATAATTAATATACACAGTACACACACATATATTATGCAAGCAAAAACATTTATTTTGGATACGATTAATCACAATCGTTTGACAGCACTAATTTTTTTCATATTATTTTTTATTAGTTTACTTTTTTGTTGCATCCAGTTTATTAGTTTTTTGACTTCATGCAAATTACCTTTTAATTTCTATTAGTCTTTTAATTCATTATTATACTGTTATTGAGACAAAGCTTGACTTCTGAGGACAACTATTTCAGTGTCATTTGTCAGGTAGTGTCTTTTATGCATGATACTTTACTTATTTTATGCATAAAATAAAGAATCTGGGTGAACGTGTTACTCTGCGTTGGCCAGAAAGTGACCGTGTCCAAAAGCACCAGATGTTGCACATTTCATTCCCTCTCTCATTCTCAGCCCATCACTCCCCAGCTGGCCATCATAACATCTCTAAATGAGCCTCTGCCCGTGTTTCTACCCCGCTGCGCTTTGCTCGATTCCTTGTACTTTCCCTTATTTATGAATCTAACAGAACTCCTCCATTTCATGCATCTTCAGTTGGCTGTACTTTCTGTGTGAGCATGTTTTTTTTTGGCTCTTCCAGTACACTCACACACGCTTCAACATGAAGCTCGTACTCCAGGCTTCAGATCTACTGCTGGTCCAAAAACACATGCCCACAAACACACACTAGAAGCACCACACACGGCTCTGGCAGACTCAGGAAAGGAGGGAGGCAGATCCATGTGGTCCCACAATCTGTTGCCTCCGGATCACAACGTGGCAGGGAGACACCAGTAAACCCATCACCTACAAACCCATCAGATCCAGCTATAGCTGCCATCTACACCTTCCTCACTGGAGCTTATGCTGCCTTTCAGTATCAACTGGATCTCAGATGTTTCTCCTAAAACATTGGGTTAATTGCACCGGTAAGGGTTAAGCTTGAATCTAGATTAAGTCAGGGTTTATCTAATAATTCTGTTGCACCGCTTGTTTAAAAATAAGCTTACGTTTAAATCATAATTTTGATCCTGGTTTTAATTTACATGTAAAATTTAAGCTTAAACCTGTTGCTCCATTACTTTGAACTTACGCTGCAAACTCATTTAGCGATTAACTTTAAACCTGAAGGTGAGGAGGAATTGATTTTGGTGAGAAATATTGAGATCTCTGACATTTGATTGCAGACTTCGGTGTCTTGGCAAAAGCGAGCACAGAACTCTGACATGCTGATGAGATAATTGGAGACTTATTCACAGGAGAAACATCTGAGAAGCACACAAGACAAAACAAACCTCTCCATTTAATCTCACTGCTGCCTACTGAGAAATTAAAGAGGAATAGGAGCTGTCTACAACATTACAGGTTATTAAATAATACTGGCACAGGCAATTTCATAAGCAAAACAAATATCTCTATTTCAAACACCTGGGTGAATCGTACAAAAAGTCTGTCCAGGTCACAATATTATCAGAATTATTAACAAAATTATTAAATTATTCAAAAAGATAAAGTTGTTTGACAATGTGATATCATCATGATAACAATTTACCACTAAATTCTTATCACTAAAATATGGCCGAAATGTTCTAAATTTTCTTTCTCAATAATAATGATTCTCAGCAGATTCTCATTACAATAATACAATTTTATTTATTATTATTATTATTATATATAATATATATATGTATTATAATTTTGCTATAATAATAAAATCTGCTTTTAACTTCTGCTGATTGACTGCTTCTCACAAAGACTTTCTTTACACTGTTTTGCTGGCGCTTGAACACACTTTCCTGTTTCCGACTGCAAGCGGCTACTCTCGTTGACTGATTATTATTAATCAGTATTAATATTAACAGATTAATACTGTTATTATTATTCAATTATATTTTAAAACTTAAAGAGCATATTTATTATTATCTTTATAATTTTGTACATTATGGTAATGAGATTTTTTTTTGAGTTATGATAATATTTTTTTTTAAGTAGGGCCTTAATTGTGTAATTAATCGAAAATAATGCCACAAACAAAAGAAAAAAAAAGAAAAAAAAAAAAAAGCATAATTTATATAATTCTATAAAATATATACCTGATATAAAAATATATAACTTGTCCTAAAACATATAATTTTATATAATAAAGCCTTCTTTTGGCAATATTTTTTTTTTCACAATTTGCTGTGCTTGTTTGCAGACTAGTGCTGCATAATTTGGCCAAAAATTGTGTGATTATATAGAAATGTGGCTATAAAATAATAATAATAATAATAATAATAGTTTGTCCAACTCTAAACCCAGTTCCCAAGTAAATTAGGTTATTAAATAAAAAACTAGCAAAACGAGTTGCGCGGTGTCCCCACCACTTTTCAAAGCAAAGTTACGCCACTGATAAAAATACTCGATACAATATTTAAAAAAATACTATTGTAATATTTCATTTATGGTATTGAGAATTTGATTATTTTGGCATTACAATAATGATTTTTTTTTAGTGTATAGGGACTTAATTGTTATGAAAATAATGTCACGAACATATTTAAACCTTTATATAATAAAGCCTTTTTTAGCACAATTAAGATGTTGTAGAAATATACATACATACATACATGCATAGAATAAAAATATAGCCTAACATTTAAATATAAAACATTCAAACACTGAATTTGATTGATTTAGGTGTGAAATATGACAGGGTTTGTGAGATCTGTATTCTCTCACACACAAAAGCACACGTGCACATACATCCTGATAATAAATTATGATTCATCCTTTATCACCCATGCTAAAGTTGACCCTGGCTGCCCACAAGCACACAGAGAAATGTAGGAAAGACACAGGCTACTCACGGTTATAGTGGGGATAGCAGCTACCAGAGAGTACACGAGCACCGGCGGTACGTTACTCCTCTCCTCCGGTCCAGGGTACGGTTTGGAGAACGCCTTGTCGAAGCAGAAGAAGCCCTGGATGTGCACGGGAAAGGTGTCCGTGTATTCGAAGTAGTACGCCAGGAGAACGGTGCCTGCCATGATCACCAGCTGAAAATAAAACATGATCCACGCTTTACAACCTCCGCCACAATCAGAGACACGCGCGCGTCGTGACACTGAGAGCGTTACATGCTGCTCCGCGAGGAAAGCCGCGCGGAGCGAGAGGAGAGAGGAGAGCGGAGGACCGGCGCGGGGAGAGTCAGCGGGGAGGGACAGAGTGAGCTGGACACAAATTGGCTCAGCGGCGCGTTGTGTGTCCGTGTGCGCGAGAGAGACATTTCGGATGTGTGTGAAACACAACGAGGGTGTGAACGCGCTCATTAGCGACTTTCAAAAGCAGCTCGCCTTCATTCAAGACACACTGTGCTTCTCATTCAACCTTCAAAACACAAAGATGCAAATTAACTACTGATATATGGTGACCCCAAAGGGTTTGAGGTACACTGAGAAAAATTTGGTGTGGAAACAATTTTCACTCTGAAATTTCACACACAGTTACAAAGCAACGGCAAGCAACACATTGAATTATACGTGATATTTTGCGATATTCTGTTTTATTTACTTTTTTTTTTTTTTTTACAGTGTATGGCTGCATGATTTGGGGGTTTAAAAGTTAAATGAAAAGATTTTTCTGATAAAAATGTGTGATAAAAAATCATGTTTGCTGTGCTTCTTTGTATAGGGCTGCATATTATAGGCCTATATCAATATGGCTATAATAACGATGATAATAATTGCTACTACTACTACTATAAGGCCTACTACTAAATAAAACTATAAAAATGGCAAAAAAACAAACAAAAATACTAGTATTATAATATTTTACAGTAAAATAAAAACAGTATTTTGCAAACAATTACAAAAAAACGGCAAGTAACATTCAAATAAACATGAATTTTTGAAGAAAAACTTAAATAGTATTCCAAACATACCGCAATCATTGCTTTATTTAAAACAATGAAAAAAATATTACAGGATAGGGCTGCTTTTTCTAATTATGATTATTCTGATATAAAATAGTGATAAAAAAAGGTTTACTGTGCTTGTTTATAGAGCTGCGTAATTTGCGGTTATATAATGATATAGCTGAATAATAATAATAATTAATACTACTAAATAAAGCTATACAAATTGCAAAATAAATATTACTATATTTCACTGTAAAATAAAAAAGTTTTAAAGACAATTTGTACAAAAATAATAATTATATTTGACATTACATCTGTAAAATTTCTAATATTTAGGGCTGTCTTAATTTCTTCATTTTCAAACATTAAACCACCAAACTTTCATTTTGAGGAAATCTGCAAAACCTTAAAGCTTCTCTGTTGTTGATTTTTTTTTAATTTTTATTACACATATGGAAGAATGCTGGCCTGTTTTGCATTCCCAAATGCACATTAAAGCGACACAAACTTAGATCATATGCAGAAATGGGCAGCATTTACTGTGAACCGAGTCACTCAGAGATACTGAAAACACTGAATCATGAGCTGCTCATGTGTAAATGAACACAGTGCCACGCTTCACTCAGAGAGGGGCCGTTTACACAACAACGTTTTCAGCCAAAAACGGGAAACTTTTTATGCGTTTTGACTGTTCGTTTACATGACAACGGCGTTTTGGAGACTGAAAACGCATATTTTTGAAAACAGGTTTCAAAGTGCAAGTTTTTGAAAACGGCACTGTTATTGTTTCCGTGTAAACACCCAAAAAGGGAATCTTTGAAAATGGTGACGTCATGCGCGTGCGTAGTACGTGTTAGGCATGTAGCATGCGCAGTATGTGTCGATTTTAAAGGCAAGCACGAACAAACATACACAATAATGGCGGAGTACATGGTATTGTTGTTGCTGCTCAAGAGTTTGCTAACGCTTCTTCAGCAAAGTGTGGATTTACTTCACCAATATTACAACCAACAGCAGAAACGCATCATATACAACATTTAATCATCACTTACCTACAGGTACTGTTTACTAGCAAGGTGACAGTGCCAACTACTGGCATGGCATACGTAATACAGTGTTTTTGGCCATTTTCGCGGATATGTGTAAACGCGAATCGTTTTGAAAACGTTGTCGTGTATACGTGAAACTTTTTAAATACACAAGGGAAAAACGTTTCCGTTTTTGACTACACCGTTGTCGTGTAAACGTAGCCTAAAACATGCAGTGCATATATTTATTTTATAGCCATATCACAACATCTGGATACCTAATGCATGAATGTCATTACTTTAGATGTAAAATACCAAAACACCTGTGTGAACTTGGGAGAATAGACTTCAAAAGCATTGCTTGCTTGCAAAAAGCAAACATGAAAATGAGAAGTTCTGAGAAAAAATAATTATGTTATCTACTACAATGACATTTTTAACTGTGACATATGTGTTCAAATGCATTTTGGGGCCACCGTATTTGAGAATACACGTTTTTTTTATTCACAAGTGCATAATACTTGTTTCCTGAGTACTTGAAGCATGAAAAATGCGCTTGGATTATTCACCCAGATCTCTCTACCCACACAGACACCCACATTCACACACACCCAAACACAAAGCCTGACCCACGTGTCAGTCAAGTGTTCTCAATGCTTTTCTTGTCTCTCTTAGTTATAAAGAGAGAAAGACAGACAAATGCTGTTGTGTTTAACTGTCATGGTGAAGAAAACAAGATTGCAGGGTTAAAATATTCAGCACATTTTGTTTCCAAACATAACAGCCTGAATATAATTGTAGATTATAACAGTCAAATAGAAATTCATTTATTTGTATGATGTTTTTTTTAAAACACACACTGTTCCAAAACAGCTTTACATGAAATATAAACATAAAGAAGATAAAAGGACAAGATCTTTGTTTCGGTGTAGTGCAATGCTGTATGTGTCCACCAGGGGACAGCAAAGTGTGGATTTACTTCACCAATATTACAACCAACAGCAGAAACGCATCATATACAACATTTAATCATCACTTACCTACAGGTACTGTTTACTAGCAAGGTGACAGTGCCAACTACTGGCATGGCATACGTAATACAGTGTTTTTGGCCATTTTCGCGGATATGTGTAAACGCGAATCGTTTTGAAAACGTTGTCGTGTATACGTGAAACTTTTTAAATACACAAGGGAAAAACGTTTCCGTTTTTGACTACACCGTTGTCGTGTAAACGTAGCCTAAAACATGCAGTGCATATATTTATTTTATAGCCATATCACAACATCTGGATACCTAATGCATGAATGTCATTACTTTAGATGTAAAATACCAAAACACCTGTGTGAACTTGGGAGAATAGACTTCAAAAGCATTGCTTGCTTGCAAAAAGCAAACATGAAAATGAGAAGTTCTGAGAAAAAATAATTATGTTATCTACTACAATGACATTTTTAACTGTGACATATGTGTTCAAATGCATTTTGGGGCCACCGTATTTGAGAATACACGTTTTTTTTATTCACAAGTGCATAATACTTGTTTCCTGAGTACTTGAAGCATGAAAAATGCGCTTGGATTATTCACCCAGATCTCTCTACCCACACAGACACCCACATTCACACACACCCAAACACAAAGCCTGACCCACGTGTCAGTCAAGTGTTCTCAATGCTTTTCTTGTCTCTCTTAGTTATAAAGAGAGAAAGACAGACAAATGCTGTTGTGTTTAACTGTCATGGTGAAGAAAACAAGATTGCAGGGTTAAAATATTCAGCACATTTTGTTTCCAAACATAACAGCCTGAATATAATTGTAGATTATAACAGTCAAATAGAAATTCATTTATTTGTATGATGTTTTTTTTAAAACACACACTGTTCCAAAACAGCTTTACATGAAATATAAACATAAAGAAGATAAAAGGACAAGATCTTTGTTTCGGTGTAGTGCAATGCTATATGTGTCCACCAGGGGACAGACTGGAGCTTTAAGATGATTAGTTGTGCTTGATGGGGCAAATATCACTATTGCTATTGCTCATATTTAGAGTGAAACTTGAGCATACCCCTAACCATACGTAACTGTAAGTACTGTACTTTGGTGAATAACTGTGCTACAAAAATTAATAAAACTCAAATTGTGTGATTTGTTGATGAGAGATGTGCAATTAATTTTCTAAGTTATCAGAGTTATGATTTTGGACAATAAAATAGGCCAAAATTAAATTAACAAATAAATGTGATATATACATATAAATATCACGAGTATGTGAACACAGATACCACATGTAGTGTATAACATGCACATCTGATCTTCCATCCATTCATTCATTCATTAATTGGAAATATTCAGATCAAATTTTTAAATAGTATCTCACTGGAACATGCTGCTTTTATTTGGCATGAGTTCGTGAAACGATCATTAAACGCACTGTGCCAGAATCACTCTGTGGCTCTGTGTTCACTCAAACAGTCTAATTAGAGAGCGGGGGGGAGGAGGAATATTCCATATGGCAACATGTTTCTCCACAGCCAGCAAAATTCAACATTACTCTGCTGTCATCTCTCAGTTCTGGATAGTTTAGCTGGAGTTCAAATCAGTCTAAAATGTATCGTGGAAACATGACTGTACCAAACCCATATAAAGAGCGCGTGTGCTGTGGAAGACATGAGCAAAAGAAGACGGGTTAATATGTGTCATGCATAAGAGTATTTAATCTGTAATATATGCACTTCTCTATTGTGGAGCATACAGCAAACAAGTTGAGACAGATCAATAGAGACCGCTGCCGTATTAACCACAGCATCACCGTAAGCAAAGCTGAAAGGCGACTCCACGGTTTGGAGAAGCGCTGCGGAGGACACGCTCGATTGTGTTTGGAGGAGAGCGGAGAGAGGGACTTCCAAAGGACAAGATTCATCACTGTCATAAATTAAGGATGACAGATGTGCTGTAATCTCGGGAAGAACGTAGTGAACCGAAGATCTGTTTCAGAGCCTGTTTGAGAAAGTACGACTCCTCAGAGCATTCTGACCTCTTTCTGATTCAGGGTTCAAGAGCGGCGTGCATACAGTACATTAAAAAGCTAGACAGAAGTACATACAGATTTAATTTATACTGCTTTTATTTATTTATTTATTTAAATTTATTATTATTATTGATACTATTTATTTGTATTTTTATTTCTAAAAATGAAATGATTTTTTAATTTGAATATATTTTAATTATAATTTATATTGTTATTATTTATAATATTTTATTTATAGTCATACTATTTTTATTTTTATTTATTAATAATAATAATAATAATAATATATTCTATTCTCATTTCAAAGATGAAATACATTTTTACTTGAATATATTTTATTAATATTATTTATATTGTTATCATTAACAATATTATTTATGTTCATTCTATTTTTATTTTAAAAATCATGTAAATGCATTTCATTGTAAAATATTTTATTAACATTTTATTTATAATAAGAATAATAATACTTATATTGTTTTATATGCATTTATATTACTTTTTTATATATGCTTTCTTAATACATGCTTTTATGCTTAATACATGCTTATATATGCTTTCTTAAAATATATCAAATTTCAGTTATAGCTTACAAAATGACAGACAGACAGACAGATAGATAGATAGATAGATAGATATGACTCATAATCTCAGTGTCAATCAAATGTCTTGGCTCTAATTGGACCTGAAATCAGTCTGGTCTTTCAGAGTATTTTTAGAGTGGTCTCTCTTCACGCTGGCAGACACTGAAGGCTGTCTAGCCGTTTGAGTGACAGCTCATCTCTCCTCTTATTCATAGCTCATTACGGGCCTTTTATTCTGCCTGATGAGCAGAACTAAACAGCACCAAAGGACGCCATGTACCTTATACTTGCACTGTGTGATGATGGATGGATGCAAAAATATGATCTTTAATGAAATCAGTCTTAGCAGCTCTCCACAAACATCTTTAGGCAGGCAGGCTTTAGAGTTTTGGACACTTTATTAGCTGAACACCAGCTTGTTTGGGAGTTTGGGAGACCATCTTAAACCAGTTAAGACCAGTAAACCAGCAAATAAAAGTTATTTTTATCAGCAGGATCATATAGATACAGTACATCCTTTGGTGTTCTTTAGGAATTTTGATAAAAAATAGCAACAGTCTTGATTCAATTAGAATTCGAGCATTTACTGCACAAAACGAATAATGTTTCTACATGTTTGTTGTTGCTTCACAATTAGCGGCTTGATAAGAGACCACAGGCGTAGATGCAGATGTGTGATCAGTCTGTTATTAGTCTGTTTCAGCATGTGCTGTAAATAAACATTATCCCGCTGAGAAGCCGCTCCAGCAAATTCAAGTCATTTAGGACGCTGCCAAGTAGTGCCGCTCTTCCTCCCTTTCCACAAGTCTTCTCTACTCTTCTTTCATCCGTCAAGAGCAACAGTGTGTCTCTGCCTTCCCGCTGTTAGTCTTTTCCTACTGAGTCAAACTGCTCAGCTCCCATAATGCTCATCAGCGACCTGCCAGTTCAAGTGTCAGTCGTTTAAAAAAAAAAATCAATTTTTATTCCTTTCATTTTCCAGCGCCTTTGTAGATCTCCATGCTGCTTTTCAAAGAAGCCAGAGAAACTAGATCTGCTATCGCTCACTGCCAAAGATCGACTGATGATCAGATGTGTTACCTTTACTTTTCAAATCTTGCTTGTTTAATATTTAATGCTTTTTAAAGCACTTTTTAAACTGTTTCCCTCATAACAATGTAGCTAATATCAGGTTTTACTATCTTTGTGGATATTTGCTTCCCACACAGTGGGCAAAACCAGACCCACAGAGACACACAAACAAATCTTCACATCCATAGATAAATGAATTAACAATTTCACTTCAAGTTAACAATATTTATTAATTTAAATATAAACCAAACTGATGTGAACAAAGTTTTTTTACGGTCTTCAATGTCACTAAAGCACCTGCTGCAGTCTTGCGCCCTCTACTGGATTTTACAGGAGGTACAAAGCTAATTTCTTCAGCGTCACAAATCTACTGAGGCAAAACTGACAATTTCATAAAAATGTAAATTCTGTCATCATATATCTAAATTTACTGTCTTTGCCATCAACACGATACAATATCTGGGATACGGCTGAGGGGAAGATAGTCAGTGAATAATGATTTGCACAGACTCACAGAAAAATACTGTTCGACTTCTGAAGATTTGTACTAATACATATAGTGCGTATGGTGCCTTTGTGAGTTTTTTGGTGTTCTTGGACACGATTTTCTACATAGTATTATAAAAGAGCAGCATGAACATTCTTCAAACTTTAGCCTTTGGAAAAAAAGAATGTAAATTATGACAAATTGCTGTTTTTATGTCATGTGTTGCAGGGATTCCCAAACAGTTTTTTCTATATATTTATTTATTTCTCAGAGATTTAAAGATAATGTTTCAATAACTGAACACATTTACACATGTTCACAGTTCTCTGATGTTAATGGTCACATTGACATGCAGGTAAACAAATAAACTATTTCAAATGTAAAAAATAAAAAACATCAAAAAGCAAAATTAAATTATTTGAATTTACATTTTTATGATTTCATTAATTATAAGATTTTCATCAGCTCACGAATCCTCTGCAGTTTCGTCATTTACCCCAGATTTGGGAAACACTGCTGTAATGTAATGTTTAATGCATTTCATGATATTGATAACAAAGACTGGAATATATTTATTTCTCTTAGTTTTTTATAACATTAACCCCTTCAAATCTATAAACAAGTTAGGTCATAAGTAATCTAAAAGTAATCCAAAAAAAGTCTGAATACATTACTTAAAATGAGTAAACTAAATTACATTACTGACTACAATTCACATCACCAGGAACAGACTACAACATAACTGGCTGTTTTGTTTCTTTCACAATCCTAGTCTTTTGCTTCGCCTTGCTAAAGTGAGTCATAGCAATAGTTGAATGTGCTGAACAAAAAAGAAAAGAAAAATGACTGTGGCTTATCAAATATTCGTATATGCATGCTGCAAGAGCACAATACTGTATGTCTGTGTGTGAATGCATGTGCCTGTTTATTACTGCAAGAAAGCTGAAGAAGGAAGGAAAGAGAAGATTTACACGTGTGGGAGAGAGAGCATCTAAAAATGATATAGCAGAAGAAGGATACAGACACAGGATCCAGATCCAGCTGATTGGTAGCCATAGTAACAACAGCGGAGGCAAGTGTCGTGATGTGTTTGTGATGCACACGCAACATTAGTGCACACGAACACATGCACACACAATAAAACACACAAAAACAATTCAGTCCATTATCTTTCCATCCTTCAAGAAACAAAGCATGATAGAAATGTAACATTTGGAAATTAATTATTTCTTCCTTAAACAGCCATTAACAGGCCATAGAAACCATTTAATTCCTTTAGTCAGTCATTGTTATCAGCACTGAAAAAGGTGAAATAATATACGTATATATACATCTATATATCTATAGAAAAATAGATAGATAGATAGACAAAAAGGTTCAAAAAGGTTTCAGCTTGATCTGCCTCAGTGGTCTAACAGTGCTCGTCAATGTCAAAATAATTCAAGCAAATCAAAGTAGGTGGGGTAACTGTTCACAGAAGCAGAGCGTGAATTCCAGCGCAAAGCGTCAGTTTAACTTTGAAAAAGAGCGAGGTAAGATTTCAAATCATTTAATATTAGTCATCTGTTTTATGATAGAAATGTTAAATGACCTACAGCTATATCCAGTGATGCAAATTACTCAACTTCAGTATTGAAGCTAATTTATTAATAAAAGTCATGGGGCTCCTGAATGTTTCTGTGTGTGCGCAGTGCGATCTGCGATCTTTGTGTGTTTTGAGAGAGATATATATATATCTTCTGTATCAAATTCTTTATCAAATATATTACATTTAAAATAGATTAAAATAGAAACAATTATTTAACATTTAATTTTTTTATTTATATGTGTTTATATATAGAGAACTGACCACATTTACTATTCAAAATGGAAAATGAAATGTATATGCATGTTTATTTTTTAAAATTCATTTATTAAAGATAATGCAGTATGTTTTCTTCAAATAGGGTGAACTACGACCTGCAAAATCACAGGATGTAAAACTGATCTGAATCAATACAAAGGAAATAGCTAGCCTCTCTTTTTATATCTTTAACAACTTTGATCATATTAATTTGAGCTTCACTTCCTTTGAGGCCATGACATAACAACCTCACATCTTTCGCTGTGAGCCCATTTAGAGTTAATAAAACATCCTGATCCAACTTGATAAAGTCTGGATTATAGTTAAGGATAAGGCTGTAGCATAACTCACCTCCACAAATAGGAAACATGGTAGAATGGAGCTACTGCTCTTCACAGCAGGCTTCTCTTCTGCTGCCATTGTAGATCCCTCTTCTTTATGCTCTGTTCCTCCTCTCACACTCCCACTTTATTCTTCTCACATGAAAGAGAAAGAAAGAACAGGTCAGGAGCTAGTAAACTCAATTAAAATAACTTAATCGTCCTTTGCACGTCTGAAGGATATTCTCCTGCATGACTACATTAAAACACAACCCCATAACCCTATGTAGAAACTAAATATTTATACAAGTGACCAGAAAACAAAAATGTCCAATCAGATTATATTGAGAGCCCATGTTTTGTGAGACACATTTTCAAGGTTATTCCCATTGACAGTTACATGACCCAAAAAGGTTTATATAAATGGCAAACTGAAATACTACAAGACTTGCTGTTTACAAGGCTGCTTATTGGATCAGTTAAGGTAGACGTCAAATTAAGTGACTGTAAAAAATGACCGTGAATTTAACGGTAAAAGACTGTAAAAATGCTACAGTAAAATCCTGTTAAATGGTTAACTACAGAGAGCTTATGTCATACAAGACTAACTACAGAGAACAAATGATGCAACCATTTGTAGTGAGTTACAATCTAATTAGCACTTAGATTGCCCCTTTACCCTAGCATTCATTTACGAACAGATGGACCCAGAACTCTCTAGGACTGGACCTTCATTGGTCCGTGAACCACCGAGCAGCATTTTGTCAGCAGGTCTGTTGAACATCACAGCGTAAACCTCCGAGTTCAGGACAGGGAAATGAATATCACATGAAGGCAGGCACTAAAGCTCTACGACAGAAAGCATCTAGTACATGCCTCCGCTTTTAGTGCGCCTTACGCTCACAGCGGTCAACATTTTACATCTGTCAGCGTGCGAGTCCTCAGATAATGTAAAAAAACGGAGCGGCAGACCAGCATTTTTTTAAACATTTCCTCGATGCCGGGCAACACTGGAAGGTTTTCTAAAAAGTCTGTCTATGTGGTGTGCCGTTTTAATGTCTTTGAGGAAAAAGGAAGCTAAAGTGCACAATCCCAATCCAGAAAAGAGATTGTTACGGCCTAAGCCTTGATTATCATCTTTCATGTGACGTCATGTCTCTCCTAATCTTTCTCCTTGAGTCTGATTATTTAGGTCCGCCTTGGTGCACCTGCGTCTCATGGAATGAGTGATTGATTCCCTATATAAAGGACGCTGAAGTGGAGCATGAGGGGCACAGGAGATCCACCAGCAAACAAGTTTTATTACCTTTTCTCTTAATCCTTATATTTTTGGTTTGTTTTTCTTTCGTTGACTTTATGCTTTGGAGCTGCCCCGTGTTTTGGGGAAGTATATCGTTTTTGCTAGTTATTCTATGTTCATTTGTGTTCCTCGTCGTCTTGTTTGGATACGTGTTTCCATTTATGTTATTCTTTATGTTAAATAAATATTTTCGTTTGGCATTTGGATTCACGTGTCCTCTTTATGCTGCATTCCCTTTTTTTCTGCTGAAACTTAGCAGGGGTTTGTAACAAGATGTGCTCTAATGTAAGATTCATCCAAATAAACAAGAAAATTGGCCAACCTGGAAGAAGGTTTAAGAATAAATTGGGTGTCTCTCACTCACTGTTTTTTTTATCCTTTATAATTTGCTTTTGTTTAGTCTCGCTTATGTTAACATGCTTTGATAATTATGTAGATGCTTCAAGCTTAAAAAAAAAAGTCATGCAGGTAAAGTGTCTGGAAATGGTCTAGCACAGTGGTTCCCAACCCTGGTCCTGGAGGCACCCCAACACTGCATGTTTTGCATGTCTCCTTAATCAAACACACCTGATTCAGGTCATCAGCTCATTAGTAGAGACTTCAAGACCTGAAATTGATGCGTCAGAGAAAGGAGACATGCAAAATGTGCAGTGTTGGGGTGGCTCCAGGACCAGGGTTGGGAACCACTGGTCTAGCATATGGTCTGCTCGTGTGTAGACTCAGACTGCACACCCACAGACCAGCCATGGACTCATTACAGACCGTCTGTTGCATGTTACACACAAAAATAGTAAGATTGTTGCCAAAATTGTAGGCTACAATCTTAGTGCACTTTCTGGAAATCAGAGTGGATGAGTTCTTATCTATTCATCAGGAAACAATATATACTTAAACATATATTTATGAAATGCTGAAATGCAGAATGCAATGTCATTTGAATTTGAAAGTATGTTAGTTTAATTGAAAGAAATTAATATACATGAAAAAGCAACTAGAAAAGCAAAGTTTGTCAAGACATTATTTATTTACTTATTATACAGTATATATATATTTATTAAGACATTAATTATTTGTCAAGGTATTTTATTGTTACATTTTTTGTAGACCAAGGTGGAAAAACACTTTACCCAGAATGCACCTGTGCTGAATTTTTTTCATTTAAATTCAGATTTAAATGCAATTCCTGTCATTTCAGTTCAACTTCACCAATTTAACTTACAACTATTACAACTTTTGCACTGATGATGAAGCAAATGCATGGTTTAACTAAAATACAATCAAGACAAAATCTGTAACTTGCAATGTGTCTACGCCTTTGCCTTAAAATGTGCTAAAACTAATGCTATATATAAATAAATAAATAAATATATATATATATTAAATATAATATCCACACACTGTACATTTTTTCAAAGTTGTGGATGAGTTCTTATCTATTCATCAGGAAACAATATATACTTAAATATATATTTATGAAATGCTGAAATGCAGAATGCAATGTCATTTGAATTTGAAAGTATGTTAGTTTAATTGAACGAAATTAATATACATGAAAAAGCAACTAGAAAAGCAAAGTTAAATATAATATCTACACACTGTAAATTTTTTCAAAGTTGTAAATAAAACAAAGATTACTGGAGTATGTTCTACAAGAAAATACTACTTCAGTTTTTTTACTTTAAAATTTCATGTTTAATTCAATGTGTTACTTGCTGTTTCTTTGTAATCATTTGTGGAATTTGCTAGCAGTTTCTGAGTGAAAATGATTTCAAAGTAAATAATTTCCAGTGCATGCCTAAAACACAGAAAATAAAGGTAAAAGTAAAGGTCTCTAAAGCATAAAAAGTTCAAAACAGTAATTCTTAAACAGTAACAAATTTAAGTACTCATCATAATTATATTTTTGAATATGAAATGACAAAATTGCTTAAATTTAAATAACATTTTTGTCCAAAAAATTTAAAATGCTTGCATTATTCTTGTGGTCAGATGGCACTAAATGAACAGGTTTTGCTCGAAAAAAAGCTGCAAAGTGGGACAGACATGCTTGACAGTCAAAAGTCTGGCTGTGTATGACTAACTCATGTGTATCATACAGCCCTCTATACTCTACAGAGCCAAGCTGACAAACAAACACAAAAGCAATGGCTTAAATTAGTCCCTTATACTGAACAAGCCCCTTCAAACAGGAGGGCTTTTCCAGAGATGTATGGTTGCTGGATTACCACAAATTGAGACTAGGCTGTTATATCCTCAAAGGACACTTAAGCTTCAATTAGTACAGTCAAACATGGTAGTCTCCCAGGGTGGACCAACTCCATTATAATGCAGAGCTTGCCCTGACTTTGCATTATGATTCAGGTATAAAAATATAGATGGCCTGTCTCAGCTTTCATATTAGATTAGAGTTCAGAAAGATTGCTATTCAAGAATGGTGATAAGTACAGCAAAACAACTCCTCAAGGTCTTTTTGACTTTGCTTCTAATCCTAGTGAAGAATTACTCTTGCAATATCTTCACCAAAACAAACTGACTTCAACAACTCGCAAAAAACAGGAGAGACATAGTATTCAAAGAGAAGAATGTATTTTGTACATTATTTTCAGCTTAAATGTAAAAATGTTCTGCAATTTTAGAGTAAATTCGATTAAAATGTATGATCATGCAATACTGACTACACTGGGGGGAAAAAACTAAAGACAAAAGCTACAACAATAAACTGTGTAAGAATGAACACTGCTGAACAAGAAGTCTCCTGACATCTTCCGATAAAATCAAAAGTTTTGCAGAGCTGTTTTACTAGACACGACTGGCCGTTTTTTAAAGTGTTCTGGGCGGTTATAGCTAGGGATGGGTATCGTTAAGGTTTTAACGGTATTACTACTCTTATCGATACTGCTTATCGATTCGGTACTTTAACGGTATTCTTATCGGTACTTTTGCTGGCGACTCTGGTGAGATAGAATTTGCAAGATAATGTATATATAGCAATAATAAATGTATGTGTGTTTTATTAATTTCTCCAGTACCGATAGCAGAACCGTTAACGTCAGAGCTTATCGATACTCCGGTCTTTCATAATTTAGCCCCGAGACCGATTAAATACCTGGTTTCGGTACCCATCCCTAGTTATAGCACACCTTTCATGTCTATTACTGCACAAACAATGCAATATGAATTACGTCTCAATGTGAAGTATATGGGTTGAACAATTAATAATCAAATAAAACCAAAATTGCAAAGGTTGTGATAAATATATGTGCTGCGTGTTTCAGAGTGAAGTGCAGCACTATTTTCTTTTACACATGAGCAGCTCATAATTCAGTGGTTTCAGCGGCTCAGAGCAGCTCGGTTTGCAGTAAATGCTGCTCCACACAAACTTATCTCTGCTCTGAGTTTGGGTCACTTTAATGTCATTTGGGAACATGACCTGCCAACCATCTTCCCAAATCTATAATGAGAAGCACTTACAAACCAGCTGTTGTCAGAAGCTTTGGAAATGGCTCCCTGTGGTTTTCCACCAGAATAAAGGCCCGTTCACACCAAGGACGATAACTATAAAGATAACGATAAAGATATATTTATAAAAATCGTTCTCAATATTAAAGAATAGCAGAGTCCACACCACAACTATAACGATAAAGACAAAGAGAAACGATATCGTTGGAATCACTTTCAAAACGATTTTTCTCCAGCTGATGAACGATAAAAAATTGAGAGTCAATCAGAATCCATCCTGCTGTAACGAGCTCAAGAATTTAAAGCGGCAGACACGCGTGCGCTTAGAATAAACAGACGATATCGTTCGCTGGTGTGGACGCTAATATCGTTATCTTTATAGTTATCGTTCTTGGTGTGAACGGGGCTTAAATGCTCCATGATTTAATGTGTGAAAATGAAGAAATTAAGACAGCCAGAAATATTAGTATTGAAACTTTACAGTTGTACTGTAAATTATTTTATTAATTCTCGATTTTTTAAATTTTACATCAAAACAGTAATATTTGTTTTTTTCTTAATATTTTTATTTAGTAATACTACCACTACTACTACTAATTATTATTATATAATTACTTAAAAAGGGCCAAATTGTGCAGCCCTACAAACTTTAATAACAAAATAATTTACCTGAATAACAATTATAATTTTAATCAGCGTAATCGCAATTAGATTTTTCCCTAAATTGTGCAGCCCTATACAGAATTAAGGGTTTGTTCACATCCCTAAACCTAAAATGCAGAAAACAAAAGAATATATTTTTAAGAATGCTAAACACGGAACCCCACTGACTTTCATGCACTGACGACAACAAAAATCACTGAACATTTTTTCAAAATATCTTCTTTTGTATTCCTCAGAAGTAAGTCATGCAGGTTTTTAAAATGAAATAAGGGCGAGCAAATTATAGAATTTTTAGTTTAGCATGAACCATCCTTTTTTACAAACATCACTAAAGTTCAGCCCTCCATTGCATCCTGTACAAATGCAACTCATAAACACTTACCAAGACATCACTCTGTCACTTGTCTCGCTCTCTTCTCTGTATTTCTTCATTTGTCCAACCCAGTAATAAAAGGACACATGCTCAAGAGTGTGATCCTCTTGCTGGCGTGTTGTTGTAAGCACCTGGATTACACTGTGTGTACGTGTCTATCGCTCTACTGTCTCATCTTTGATTTGAACGTGTCTCTGGGTTTGAGCCACCCCTAAAACACATGCACGTTTCAAATCACCACATGTATCAGCCGTCAGCATCGCAATTTCAAGCTATTAAAGGTGGGGGATGCATGTGAAAGCAATAAGAGCGTAAAACCCTAAAGGGATTTGCCATACAGGGTAATTAGAGCTAGCGTTTGGGGAATACCCCACCCCCACCCTCCTTCCTTCTCCACGTCCTTCATATTTCCAGCGATATGGGGCAGGAAACATCACTCATCCTTCCAGGGTGACTCACTCCAAAGCGGCCACACTCGCCCCCACATGCACCCTGAAATTACAGTCATGCACCGTCCACAATGACCAAAACTGTTTGCATGCACAATTAGATGGATAGCCAGACTTACTTCACACCCTACAGCCGTCGCGATGGATTCCTATGCAGTGGCCATAACGTGCGTTTTCCATGGAGCTCCTGTGCACCGATCCAGCTTCCCTCTCCTCGTCCCGTTCTTCCGTCTATCCACCCACGCAGGATTTTTTTCTCGCGGAGCGTTTCCTCACATTAGCGCACGCAGATGCGCTCACGGTCACGCACAGGCGGATCCCTCTTTAATGAGGCGTGAGAGATTAAACCGTCACCTCGACCGCAGCTCTCCAGTGCGGCTGCAGCGAATGCGCGTGTGCGCGCGTGATAGTCAGCGCAACGGGGAGTCTAGGGGAGAGTCTGATTTGTATTCAGACTCGTCCCTCCCTCCCCCTCTCTCTTGCTCAGGATTCAGGTAACAGTGTGAGATGTAGTGAATGTAGGTTAATGTTATATTGAAAGTGATCTGCTGTGGGTCAAGCGTGCCAAAGCCAATGTCTAAAACAAATAGCAGCAGCATTGCACTCATTAGTGATGCTTGCATCAGTATTGATATTAGTAATGCATACCTGATAGTCTAATGAATGAACAGTGGCCCACATAAGAAATGACGGCCAGTAATTGGGAAGGGATCATATTATTGGTTGCCAAAGGCTACAGTGTTAAACAACGGAATTAATGAAACAACTGGCAATAGCAGGTGTTTTATGAAATGTCTAACTAATTGAATCAGAACTCCACAAAGTCGCCACACAACTTTCCCTTAAAAATGACTGACTTCTGGTCTTTCATTTGTCGCAGATGTGGCTTGATTAAGAAATTGACTCAAAAATGAAAATTCTGGGGTTCCTTTAAGGATGTGCTCCTTTGACATTAGCCAGTGACAATCTTTCACAAAGCCAGAACACCCTAACAACCATCCCAAACACCATGGCAACCACCAATCATCCAGAACACTGTGACAACCGCCTAACAACACCCTATCAACATTCCAAAACACCCTTACACCATAGCAACCATTCAGAAAACTGAGACAAACACCTAGCAACGCCCTAGCAGCCATCCAAATCACCATGACAACCATCTAGCAATGCCCTATTAGCCATCCAGAACACCTGAACAACCACCTAGCAACCATCCAGAAAAACCCAACAACAACTTAGCAAAGCCCAAGCAATCATACAGAGCACCATAACAACCATATAGCAATGCCCTATCAACCATTCAGAACACCCTGACAACCACCTAGCAACCATCCAGAACACCCTAACAACCACCTAGTAAAGCCCAAACAACCATCCAGAACACCCGAACAACCACCTAGCAATCATCCAGAAAAACCTAACAACTTAGCAATGCCCATGCAAAAATTGGGAACACCCTAACAACCACCTAGCAATGCCCTAGCAACCATGCACAACACCCTGACAACCACCTAGCAACCATCCAGAAAAACCTAACAACTTAGCAATGCCCATGCAACAATTCAGTATACCCTAACCACCACCTAGCAATGCCCTAGCAACCATTCATCCAGAACACCCTGACAACCATCTAGCGATGCCCTAGAAACCATGCAGAATACCATGACAACCACCTAGCAACCATCCAGAACACTGTGACAATCACCTAACAACACCCTAGCAACATTCCAGGACACCCTAAAAACCATATAGCAATGCCCTAGTAACACCCAGAACACCATGACAACCACCTAGCAACCATTCAGAAAACTGTGACAACAACCTAACCAAACCCTAACACCAATGCAACCATTCAGATCGCTGTGACAACCACCTAGCAACACCCTAGCAGCCATCCAAACCACCATGACAACTATCTAGCAATGCCCTAGTAACCATTCATCCAGAACACCTGACAACCATCTAGCAATGCCTTAGCAACCATCCAGAACACCCTGACAACCACCTAGCAATGCCCAAGCATGCATCTGTAACACCTTATCAGCTAACTTAGCAATAGGTTTTGCTGTGCAAGCATCATTCACATATCCTTCAGAAAATGTCGACATTTATTTAGAGACAAAAGTGCCAACTGTTTCAATTAAAACCCCTTCTGTATATTTCTTTAATGTTAGAAGCAAATAGCAAAGAGATCACTGACTGGAGTAAATGCAAATGAAACCTGAACTAAAGCAGCTTGCATGTCTCAGGGGTGAGTTATGTGCATTATAGCAGTCCATCGGGTGCAAATGTGACTTAACCTTTACTTCTAGTGTGTGTGTGTGTGCGTGTTATTGAACAGCTCTGCTTAACGCTCGTCAGGCTGCAGTCCTTTGAGTCCTGCATTCAGTCAGGCAGTGCTGCTCACACTTGATAGGGGCCGGAGAAAGAAAAAAACCAATAAAGACCTTGAATGCCTCCTATTTCTAATATGCATGTCAGCTGCGTACAAGCAAACAATTGTATTATATTTTTTAAGGCCTGAAGAATGAATAAAAAAAAAGCACAAAAAGGGCAAAATCATGAATATTTAAAATGTTACTAGAAAGTGAACCAGTTCAGATCATTAATGTTTTATTTTTTATTTTTTATAATAAATAATCCATGTGACATCAGTGGTTCAACCGTAATTTTTACGAAGTTATGAGAATACATTTTGTGTGCAAAGAAAACAAAAATAACTTTATTCAACAATTCGTCTCCTCTGCGTCACCCTGTAGCGCCATTTTGGAGAGTGTCACATACGTAAACAACATATGCTTATATGTGTCAGCAGCACCGTACGCAGATATGTTGTTTATGATGTTTACGCTTTGATCTGAACGTAAACAGCGTATCCATGTACATACATTGCATACGTTGTTTACGTATGTGATACTCTCCAAAATGGCGCCAGGGTGATGCGGAGGAGACGAATTGTTGAATAAAGTTATTTTTGTTTTCTTTGCGCACAAAAAGTATTCTCGTAGCTTGGGAAAATTAAGGTTGAACCCCTGATGTCACATGGATTATTTTACTGATCTCCTTGCTACGTTTCTGGACCTTGATAGTGTTAGGATCCTTGCTGTCTATGGAGGGTCAGAAAGCTCTCAGATTCAAAAATATCTTAATTCGTGTTCCGAAGATGAACGAAGGTCTTACGGGTTTGGAACGACATGAGGGTGAGTAATTAATGACAGAATTTTCATTTTTGGGTGAACTATCCCTTTAAGGGAATGTTCAGTTTTATCATTTTGCAAACATTATGAGAACATTACTTTTGAATGTTCTCTGCACAATCTGAAACAAGATAACTTTAAACAACATTCTGCTAATGTTACTGGTAGACGTGTTCATAACTTTATATAAACATGAAATCATGAAACCTGAGGAGATTTGCTATTTTTATTTTTAAGACTTACTGTACAATTTGTGCCTCGTGGACATCCACACTTTAAAAAATGCTGGGTTAAATACAACCCAGTGCTGGGCAAAATATGGACAAACCCAGCTATTGGGTTGTTTTGACCCAGTGGTTGGGTTACTACCCAGAAGGTTGAGTTAAACATTTAACCCAACCGCTGAGTCAAAACAACCCAGTTGCTGGGTTTGTCCATATTTCACCCAGTGCTGGGTTGTATTTAACCCAGCATTTTTTAGAGTGCAAAAATACTTACACCGTAACTATATTATTTTGGTGAAACTCACTAACCACAAACTCAGTTTAACTGCATAAGATTTACACCAGACAACTTGCGTTCAACACAGATTTTATGTGCACGTATTCACTGTTACATGATTTGCATAATTCCTCCAGTGAATTATAGGTGCTAAAGCAACGCAAACAGCTTATGCAAATGCGGGTGCAACTCATTCTTCCCCTCATCTCCCCCACAGTGTAATGTACAACGGGTAAATTAATATCATGTTTCATTAGAGCTCGTTTCAGAAGATCTTGTAGAACCTCTGGTTCCCTAGAAACACGCCTTTCTTTTCTGCCGCCGTGGGGGGAAATGATGCGTGTTATTCAGCGCACCAGATGGAGAACTGATGCAGACTACACTGCTGCCATATGTAAATAAACGGCCTTCCCTTATTAAAATTCATGACAAAAAAGAGGGCATAACCAGCAAACAGTCAGAGCAGACAGGTTGTATTCCTTCAATTTTTTTTTTGCCAGTAGAGCATAGTGGTGCTAAAATTGCGAGAACAAAAAGTGTCTCCCTGTAGAAGTAATGCATTTCTAAAACACAATATTGCAATTCTATATAGAAACTATAAACCGTAGTATTTTGAATAAGATTTTGTTCTTTAATTATTACTTTTCTGCAAAATAGGAACATAATTCCACTTTAGTAATTTTAAAAGACAACATGTAAACAAAACACGTTCCTGTTAACAAATGCTGCTATTTTTTTATCAGTTCCCACCAGGTCAAATAGAGACCTTTTTTTGATCCAGTTCCTGAAGAATAAAACCTAGTATGCCTTACATTTTTCCTTCTTAAATAGCCTGCAAAACAAAACAAGAACATTTTCAACACAAACTAAATGAGTGACATTGTATTAAGGAAACAACAGAAGAAACATCTAAACAATCTGAAACATTAGCAGTATCTTTTCTAACTAATGGTTACCACTCGGTCTTATTAAAGTATTGAATATTTTCATTAATCTGGAATATGCCGTAATTATGGGCATAGAAGTTGCATTGACCACATTTACATGCACTGGAAAACTGCTAAATTTCAATATTATACCAAATATTACAGCTTCATTTATATATTAACTGGAATTACTATTACTTATTAACAATGAGAACAACACTGATGTCCACAAAACATTTCAATTTTAGTACACGTATAATTAGTTTGTAGTGGATCTGAAATTCTGAATTATTCAGATGGAGAATCATTTTCTCTCACATGTTCTGTCATGGCACATGAATCTGATTTGTACTCATTGGTATGAGGTGCCGTCACAATGCAGCAATGACTCAAAGCATTCCCACCACCTGATTTGTTCCTAAGAGACGGTCAAATAAATGAAACAATACATTTAATTTATTTAGATTTATTAGATATTAATTAGATTTATGACAATTAACATTTACAAATGATAAAAGAATAAAATGCTCTCAAGTCTCTTCCAAATCACCAACAGCAAATACCCTGAGATAAACCTTAATGTTCAGAGATTTCTCTTTCATATCTAAGGAGACATATTGTAAGAAAGATCTCAGTTATGCTTTATTTGTTGAAATATTGTAGAGATTTTATTGCAGATTTTGGCATCTG